AATTCATCTACATCAATGCATGCAGCATGGGCAACAGACAAGAAGAGCTGGAAGCCATTGTCCAGAGGGAAAACTATGATACAGTCACAGTCACAGAAACATGCTGGGACAACTCTCACAACTAGAGTGCCTCAATGGACAGATATAAACTCTTCAGAAGGGACAGGTAAGGAAGGAAAGACAGTGGGCTAACCCTGTATGTCAAGGAGTTTTTCAGTTGCCTAGAGGTTAATGACAGTGACAACAGGCCTGAATGTGGGTGAGAATTAGGAAGGTCAACAAGGCATATATCATGGTGAGAGTCTGTTTTAGACCTCCCAGCCAAGACAAGAAAGCAGATTAAATATCCTACAAGCAGCTGGGAGAAGTCTAGCTAGCCCTTGTTCTGTGGGAGACTTCAACTTACCAGACATCTGCTGGAAATACAATACAGCAGAGAGGAGACAGTCTCGGCAGTTTCCTGAAGTGTGTGTAAAATAACTTCCTGACACAGCTGGTAAGCAAGCCTACTAGGGAAGGAGCCCTGCTGGACCTGCTGCTTGTGACCAGAGTGGTGTGACCAGGACTGGTGGGTGATGTGACAGTTAGAGGCTATCTTGGGCATAGCGATCACAAAATGATAGAGTTCTCGATTCTCAGAGAAGTTAGGAGGGGGTCAGCAGAATTGCTACCTTGGATTTCTGGAGGGCAAATTTTGGCCTGTTTAAGAGCCTGGTAGTCAGAGTCCCTTGGGAGGCAGTCCTGGAGGGTAAAGGAGTCCAGGAAGGCAGGGCATTCTTCAAGAAGGAAGTCTTAAAGGAGCAGGGGCAGGCAGTCCCCATGTGCCAGAAGACAAGTCAGCAGGGAATAAGACTGTCCTGGCTGAACACAGAGTTTATGCTGGAACTCAGAAAAAAAAAAGGGGAGTTTCTGAGCTCTCAAGAAAGGGGCAGGAAACTCAGGTTTGTGAGGTTATCCAGGAAGAAAATTAGAAGGGCCAAAGCCCTACTAGAACCTAATCTGGCCTCTACCGTAAAAGGCAATAAGAATGTTTCTATAAATGCATTAGCAACAAAAGGAGAGTTAAGGAAAATCTTCATCCTTTACTGGATGCAGGGGGAAACATAGGGGTTAAGGATGAGTTGTAAATGGAGTTCAATCCATTTGGCGGCCAGTCACAAGTGGTGTTCTTCAGGGCTCAGTATTGGGCCAGTTCTCTTTAATATCTTTATCAATGATCTGGATGCGGGGATTGAGTTCGCCCTCAGTAAGTCTGTAGATGACACCAAGCTGGGTGGGAGTGTTTATCTGCCTGAAGTAAGGATGGCTCTTCAGAGGGTTCTGGACAGGCTGGATCGATGGGGTGAGGCCAACTGTGTGAGGTTCAACAAGGCCAAGTGACAAGTCCTGCACTTGGGCCACAACAACCCCATGCAACGCTACAGGCTTGGGGACGAGTGGCTGGAAAACTGCCTGGTGAAAAGGACCTGGTGGTTTTGGTCCACAGTCAGCTGAATATGGTGGCCAAGAAAGACAATGACATTCTGGCTTGTATCAGAAACAGTGTTGCCATCAGGACTAGGGAAATGATTGTCCCCCTGTACTTGGCAGTGATAAGGTTGTACTACAAGAAAGATGCTGAGGTTCTGGAACGTGTTCAAAGAAGAGCAATGAAGCTGGTGAAGTCTTACGAGAAGCGGCTGAGGGAACTGGGTTCTTTTTAGCCTGGGGAAAAGGAGGCTCAGGGAAGACCTTATCTCTCTACAACTACTTGAAAAGAGGGTGTAGGGAGGTGGGTGTTGGTCTCTCTCCCAATTAATAAGTGAGATGATCAGAGATCTGCGACTGTTTAGCCTAGAGAGAGAAGGCTCAGGAGGGATCCAATTAATGTATATCAGTACCTGAAAGGATGGTGCAAAGAGGATGGAGACAGGCTCTTTCCAGTGGCGCTCAGTGACAGGACCAGAGGCAATGGGTATAAATTGAAATGCAGGACATTCCTTCTGAACAGAAGGCAACACTTGTTTATTGTGAGGGTTACTGACCATTGGAATAGTTTGCCTAGGGAGGTTGTGGAGTCTCCATGCTTAGAGACATTCAAAAAGTGTCTAGACACAGCCCTGGGCTACTGGTCCTAGATGGACATGCTTGAGCCAGGGGATTGGACAAGATGTCTTTCAGAGGGTCCTTCCAACCTCCATCATTCTGTGATTCTATGATTCCACTATGCTATGATTCCTCAAAACCCACCCCGTAGTTACAGGATGTCAACATCACATGGTATAGCATCATTATCTTCATAGAGATGTGAATTTACACATTCTCTCCTTCCATCATCTTATCTTTTGAGTAGCCAGTATAACCTCTAGACTGCAGGTAGGCTATGATTGGCAAACTGCTATTCATTATGAATATACAGCTGTTTACACAGCTGTGCCTAAGTTGTCACTACTGAATATCTAAAACAAGTACCTTTGACTAAGGTTTCTGTAGCTATTCCTCCCCTGCCACCTTCTACAGCAGAAGATGAAGGAGAGCAGATATGAAGACAGGGAGAATGACAGTAGCTATTCTGCAAGAAACTTCTTAGAATAGCTGGTTTTTGTGCAGTGCCACTTGATGCTGGCAAAAGAAGGAGAAAATGGTACTTCAGAGCTGGAATGGGGAACTGTGACTGCAGAACGTCAAGATGGCAATGACCACTAGAGATCTCTGGGTTTTTTCCACCTGGAAATTACATGGCTGTGGCCAGTCTATAGCCAGCACATTAATCTGTTGAACATTGAAGGCTACTGATAAGTTTGTTTTTACAGGGCCTTAAAAATATATTTGTCACTGTAAAATATTAATTAAAAAAAAAAAAAAAGTTGAGAAATGGGATCCTTCCTCTGTTAAAGTTCCCAGAGCTGATAAAGCTGGTTTTCAGTATTCATGCAAGAAGTCTGAGCTAGGACAATAACTTTATGATTTTCAGGAACTGGTAATTTATTAAAAGAGAATAATAATTAAAAAAATCACTTACAAGTCACTCCCAAAGTTATCACCCTGGTGCTTGTATTCCTTAATGATTCCAGCATAAACTACTTTTCCTAAAAATTTCACAAGGCTTGTAGATCACCAGTAACAATCCCAGACAGCACCAAAGTGAACGTGTTCCATACCTGTGTAAAGATGATCTCTGTATGAGAAGTCCACAGGCTGAAGAGAATATGAAACTCAGCGTGTCTCTGCTGTGTGAGAAACAATGCTTTCCCAGTGCTCCCCTGCTGCGTCTCTGAAGCCTGGCACGGACATTGAGTAGATCATGGACCTGAGAGCGTTCTGAGGAGCAGATGATCCCTGGGAGCAAGGAATGGTGTGTTACACTCATTGCTGAGCAGCTCCTGAAGTCAGAAGACTATTGGCTACCACGATTTGCAAAGAGTGCTGTGTGAAGCTGAGTCTTTCAGAAATGTCTTTGGCAGACTGGAATAAGTCTGGGATGCAACTAGATTTAGCCTCTCCAGAACCTCTACTGTGTCCAGGGTGAGACTACAATGAGCATGAGTTTCTCTCATGCATCCGGATTTCCCTAGCCAAGAAGAGTTTAGCTTCTTTTAGAGCAAGGCCTGCAAGCAAAGTAACATTTATGTAGCATGGTCATCAGGAGACTGACGCTGGCATGAAATCAAGTGATCCACCCTGGCAGTACCAAAGTCTCCTAGCAATTTTGGTGAAATGGTGAGCATCCTTTACCAGACATGTTTCCAGCTGATTCCCACTCCTTGTTCTTACCAGCTATTCTCATCACCTCCACTGATTTTTTTTTTTTTTTCTCTGCAATCAAACAGTATGTTTTACTTCATCATATCCCGTTGTGATACAGCACTGGGCAGCATAGTTACCTTTGCTCCCTGTGATACTTCCGTGCTTCCAATGCTATGTCTTCCATATGAACATATGAGGTAAACAATTGGTCTGTTCTCAATGGTATGCAGATTGTCAAAGACATGACCCAAAACCAGAAGCCCAAAATAAGTGTATAGCCATACTTTCTCAAAGATACCTTTTTCTCTTTTATGTGCTATTTCTTATTCTTTGAAGAAAAAGTAAGTCCTAGGTTATGTGATAAAAACAGGAGCACAGACAGGCAATGGCAGGTGGGGGAACCCTAATAATACCCTGCCCTAACTTTTCCAAGGAACATAACAGAAGAGCAATTAGTTCATCAGAAACTCATTTCTTCAACAATGAAGACAGAGGCACAATGAGAGGCAATTTCTGCCTTCATCTGTCCCTCACAGGGGAGCACCAGGTGAAGGCAGCTTTTTGTGGTTTCCTTTCCCTGCCCATGAGGTTTTGCCTTGGGCCAGCTCAGAACTGTGTGCGTTTCTGTGGCAACAAAAAGAGTGATCTTACAATCAAGCAGTGTGTGGAGCAGGTAAGTAAAAGTGCTGCAGGGCACACTGTTGTTGCTTGTAGAGCTGCCAGGGGCTGTCCCTTCCACAGTGGAAGGTATGTCTGGTCCCTTGGGTATGTTTCCTCCCACCTGTACTGGTGCCATCCTCCTATGTCCATAATCAGAGCCTGGGGTCTCCTCTCACACCAATCAGTCTCTCACTGGGCACCACTGTCTTTGCGTTGATCATCCGGATGTGAAGGAACCTTGAATTTTCCTTCTGCTTTGTATTCTTTTCTTGGTGCTGTGCTGGGGTCCATGGGAAACTAGTGACCCAGCAGACGGCTGTGCTTCCGTAGCACCAATCCTGAGAAGTATCTGCTCCCTTTCACTAACCACATGAGCAGTGCTTCAATTCTTAATGCTGATCTATGGGTTTGTAATTCCGAAGGCTTTTTGTCTTTGAAGCCAGATGCTGCTGCACTGCTTAGTCCTCCCCTCTTCCCTCCGAAAAGACCTGGCTCTATTTCCCCACTTCTTTCTTTTCTTTGTTCTGCTCTTCCTCTGCCCCTCCCCAATCTGTCTCACATTTTTCAGAGCTTCCACCTCTACTCAGGCAAGGCGGGGGTTTTTATCTTAGTGCTCAATCCCCTCGCTCAACCGTGTGATCACTAGCAGCGCAGAAATACATGGCAGCATCCTTGGATGTCACATTCTTGATCGTCATCAAAGAGTGATTATTATCATCTCTGCGTATCTCAAACTTGGTCTCACTGTAACCTTCTTCGTAAGAGTTCTGCATCCATGTAGAAGAACTGGCTATTAACTTCAGACCATTTCCTGGGGGCTGTTGGTACCAGAACATATAGGCAAGTGTGGAGTATTTCTGGGAGCAGGAGATGTCCACAGTCTCTCCAGCTCTCTTAAGGGTTTCTTCTGGCCACTGTGTAATGAAGCTTCCGACACCAGCACCTGCATGATTGAGAGAGAAAAAGAGAAAGGGAGGACAAGTAGTACAGGTAATGACCAAAAGGGGTCTTTTACCTCACACCAGGCCTGCATGGCCTGGGTGAAATCTGTGCTGCAGATGGGTCTGTTGTCTCTCACCAGGCAAAAGAGCAAGCAAAAGAGTCAGCATGGCCCATCAGCTGCCCCAGAACAGTGTGTTACTGCTCATGGTGAGGTGAGAGAGGAAGAGGCTAGGGAGACTGATGCCCCTCCCCTTATTCTGCTTTTTCTGTCAAGCTTGGCTGGAGGAGAGGCAAGGGGCAATCCACTTTTGATACCCTTTTTGGTGAGCCATTAAAAGAAAAACTAAGTATTCATGTGGCTATAAATTTTGCTTTAGCCTTTCCACAAGACAAGCAGCATTCTGATCCGCTGACGAAGATGTGGGATTGTTTGCAGACAGCAGTTGCTTTCTGACCCTTGTACTGTCTGTCATTCCATCATCATGCATGTCTGGGTAGTGGATCTGAAATACTGGGCTCATAAATGATTTTTTGTCTCATTTACACCATCTTTCCGGATGGGTTAATTCCAGTAAATGTTAACCTATATTGCTTCATTCTGGAGAGACATTCTTAATACCTGAAATATGATACCTCAAAACTCAGAAGCAAAGATGATAGACCAAAATAGCAAAGGCAGAAAATTAATGTTTAATCCCTTCTTATTTTCTTCAGTTTTCCCGTCAGGGAAGCATATTCCCTGCAGTTTAATCTCCCTGGGAGCTCTAATTCACCTCCTAGTTTAAAAAAAAAAAAAAAAAAAAGAAAGGCATATCATCCAGCCTTTCTTCAGCCTTTCTTTCTGGAAACAAATCTGTGGTTAGACATTAGCCTCATGAACATTCTAGCAAGTACATCCTAGTTAGCCTTGTCTTACCCTACACCACTCTCTACTCTTTTCTCAATATGTATGATTCAAAAAACATATTATTGTAGCTGTTCTTTTCTCACTAGTACTTTGACTGAAATGTACATATTTAGTTTCAATGATCTTCTTCAATAATCCTACTATTGTTTCTTCTAAAGAATGAGCAATATTACTTTTTCTGGTTTTCTTCCTGTTTTGTTGATATCCCCCCTCCCATATTTGCCTGAAGCTCGGCAGAGATTTATAACTTTCCTTGACTTACACATTCATAGAAAAGGTATGTTCTGTCTGTGAGCCTGGTGATAGTGTATTTTCCTGGACCTAAGGCTGAGTAGGTAGGGTCATACCAGGATTCAGAGCAGTGGGAATCTCACGAATCTTGGCAGTGAATGTTTCCTGTCTTACTCTTTAAATCCTGCTTTTTTAAGAAGTTAACAGAAATTACCTGAAAAGCTATAGTTTCTTCCCAGACAGGGAAGAAAATGTATTCATTATGATGGGTAAAAGGTTTGTATGACCTCCAGTGTCATGGACACTTAACATATGAGAAATAAGATTTTGACCATGGATCCTGTTCAGTCCCTGTCAGTTCTTGGCACTGCAGGTTTTCTCAGGAGAAATTATTTCTTGTCTGTGCTCCAGCATGTTTGAGCCCTGTGCTGGATGCATTACCATTTCAGTGACTTGTCAATGAATTATAGACAATACAAAACATTTTATTTTTAATTATCTTCCATATATTTTACCTTTTTAAGAAAATTTTTGTGCTGTTTTCAGAATCAATAAAGCAGTTAGTAAATTATTTTGTCTAAATTTAATGTCTTTATATTCTTTTATGGTTTTTGCACAGATTATCCTTTGATGCATATTTTTAGCATTTATTCCACACAACCTATTCTTCTTTATTATATTTCATGTAATTCTTGTCCTGATTTTGCATGCTCTCCATCTGAATTTATTTACATTTTGCTCTTTCACCTTACTGCTAGGAAGAGACAACTGGAGACACTTCCATGGGACATTTGAGACAGTTCCATGAGACACTGCTGCTTTGACACTGCTGCTCACCCTATAATGACCTCTATGTGACTTGTGCACGGAGACACTACAGGATTTTTAGTCTGATTATTGTCTGTCATGCCAGACCTGTTAAAAAACATTTTCCTCCAGTGTTACTCAGACCTCTAGTCTTGAAAAGGAGAAACTATCTCAGAGACTCGGTGGGAACTGAAACAGTGTATGGACACTGTGGAAGTAAATTCAAAGACTATGTTGTGTAAGAACTCCGAAACAAGGCAAAATAATATCAGTGCAGCTGGGTCACACATTTTTCTCTAGTCACACGCATTTTTAGAATTTATTACTCATTCCAGGATAAAGATTTTTATTTAGAGTAGCTTTTCTACCTCTGGAAACAAAAAATGATTGCACACTCTCCAAAAGACGGGAATATCTGAAAGATGGAACTCAGGACCTCTAGTGTGTCTCCCATGAACTGCGCAACACCGTTGCTGCCTGCTGAAGACTAGCTAGATTGAGAGACACTTTGTTTCTCACTTCAGAAAGTCTAAATCTTTTACTCTATTTTTTTTTTTTTTTTAAGATTAAAGAAGAAAAAGGGGAAAACAAAAGAAGAACCAAGATACAGGCAAGTATTGTCAAGCTTCTCAATTTTGAACCCTGATTTGGGGAAGAATTGATGTAGGAAAACAGAGGAATAGTTATAAAAGGGGCCAGTCACAGGTAAACAGCGTGCTTGTGAGTATGCTTGTCTGCTTATGCCTTGTGCCTGCTTAGCGCAGTCTATCCATGTAATAGAATC